AATTCCTAGAAATAATATGTACATGTAACCATTCCGTACGATCTAGAATTGACGTATGTCTATAATTCCTGGAAATAACATGTACATGTAACCATTCCGTACGATCTAGAATTGTCGTATATCTATAATTCCTAGAAATAATATGTACATGTAACCATTCCGTACGATCTAGAATTGACGTATGTCTATAATTCCTATAAATAATATATACATGTAACCATTCCGTACGATCTAGAACTGACGTTTGTTTATAATTCCTATAAATAATATGTACATGTAACCATTCCGTACGATCTAGAATTGACGTATGTCTGTAATTCCTATAAATAATATGTACATGTAACCATTCCGTACGATCTAGAACTGACGTTTGTTTATAATTCCTATAAATAATATGTACATGTAACCATTCCGTATGATCTTGACTTGCCTTCGTCATCCTACATTCCTGACTTTAAAAATTTGTATAAAGTCACCGAAACATTCACAAAGAAACATCAGGTTAAAATTAGGATTTTCATATTTCTGCCACAGTTAAATACAATCGAGATTTTGAAAAAAAAAATCAAACTCCTGGAAAATAAAACGATTATTGAAAACAGAGTGGTATAGAGAAGCAAGAAAAGATGTATTTGTGTCAATTATTTAATTAATGATAACTTTTCAAACCCACGAGTAGCTGATCATATCGTGGGTGTATAAAAGCTTAACCCTCAAGGTAATTAGTGATTAATTATTTCCAATTGAAAGTGTCAAATATATATTAAGCAACCTTTTTAGTTGGAAAACTTCTAGATATAAACTTTATTAAACGTATCTTCAGTACACTGCAATTCACTTTTGAAATATAGCGGTGATTAATCAATAACGAGGAACTCCGTGAATCGTGTAATTCATGCGAATCCATTTAACTGATGTTCAGTTTATATTCCATTTCCGATGTATATGTCAATCCAGCAATCCTTACGATATCTATCAACAAAGTGGTTGAGACTGAACTTTTCGTTTTACCTCAAAATGGAAATCAGCTGGGAGTTTTTACAGCATAATTAAAGAAGTCTGCCTGAGAAGAAGAAAAAACATTAAAGAAACAGTAGCGCTATGCAACATACTATGTTGCAAAATATGACATAGTTTGTTACGTAATAATAGAAGCAAAACTTTCATACTGAAGTTTTAACTAAAGTTTTCTTGTCTTTAAAGTCTGTAATTACCCGTGGAACCCAAATCATTTGATCTCCCTTTTTTATGTCACGAAAACTTTACACTTCACATTGATTCGTCTGTGACTAACCTGTAAAACAGTAAGAATGACTGCCCATTTTTATCATACCTTCTCTGACTAGTGACTTCAGTGACTCTACCCGGAGTGGAGAGACAACGGACTTTCTCTGGTGGAGACCAGGCAGCACTGGGAGCGGGTGGAAGACGACGAACACTGTCGATGGAAGATTATGACACACCTCGGCCCAGAAGAACCTCTTTGATCACTTACCACAAATGAAGAAGCTAATCATGCTGGTTATGTGCAAGTCTCTGGTGTAACTAAGTAAAATCAGCCCTCACATCAATGTGTTCAGTACTACTCTATTGGAACAAGAGAAAATAACGCTTCCTAACATGTTGCACTTTGTTTTTATGAGTTTAGGGAACTATATCAGTTTTCTAAGAGAGTGAAATCGTTTGATTAACAACTGTATGCCACTTAATCAGAGATACACGTGTATAATAACAAAACTAAAATGTCTAATCAACGTTCATCTCGAGAATTTTACAAATTAAAAGCGTATCCTTTTATCGTCATGTTACCGGGAGTGATACGTTATTCCGGTTTTTTCCTGATATTATTCAGACCTAAAACTAAATAGCCACTCAAACTAGGTTCATTTTCGGTTGGATTTTCTGTTTTAACATATTAAAGACGACGAATTAGATAAAATTTGACATACTCTCGAAATACAGAGTATTGATTTCTTTATGAAGAACCCGGGCATGCGATACATGTGAATCATCCACAGTTAAGTATATTAGATTAATAAGTCTTAAATGTTTTTCCTAAAAAACATGATCATTCTCTTAGAAAACTTTAATGAGTTTCTGAGGTAAACGCACTCAGCCGCATAGCTTCCACATTTGTAAATATATGTAGAAAATTTGTATTCTATTAGAACATCGATGTGAACAGCTAGAGCTTAAAATTGTATTTGGTTTTGATTATTTTATTACTCGTTTGTTAGATCTCTCATAATGATTTGATTTTATACTGGATTCAATTACTTGGAGTGTCGTTATTCTTTGCTCTTTTATTGTAAAAGCTTTTCAAGTTCATATGGACAAAGCACCAACTTTTCTTTTAGATAGTGTAGTAGATTTACTGTGTAGAGAAATCTCTTATGTAGAGAGAGTTATGCTAAGAGAGAACAAAAGTCGAAGTGTTGTATTGCACCAGTTGCGCAATACGCACACTACATTCAGTGCAAACAAACTCAAAAACAACCTAACAGGGTTTTATAATAGACATTTGGTGCAAACAAATTTGAAAATAGAAAAAGTGTTTTAAATTTTTAGTCATTGACCTTTAAATTGAACCTCGAAATTGTACTTATTATTGAAAGTAGAACATAGACAGTGTCTCATCATCATCATCTGATAACCCTCTTATTCTAGAAACATCCTGTCAGAACTCATACAAGTACAAAATGCACATGACACGTGATGAAAAACGGATTTCAACTTTTTAACCCAAGGGAATTTGGTATAACATATTAATTGTTATATTTTTACAAACATGGTAATTCTGTAGGACTTTTTTACCAAATTTATTTGAGTGAGCCACAGAAAACCAGTAGGTTTTACCACCTACCGATATCATTCTTTTATTGCGTAGTTCCTTCAGACAAACGTTTTTTGTTGTTGTTATATTATAGTTTGGAATGGAATACCACCATAAGTCCCATTTATGGATTATTGTGTAAACAATGAAACAATTACTTGAAGCCAGTTTTTAAATGAATAGTACAAATCACTTTTGATGTTCAACTGCACATTTGGAGTTCACGTGTTTTTAAAATCTCAGATTCTTAGCATAGTTTCGTGATTTTTGTATTAAAAATGTCAGAAATAACTGGTAAGAAAAAAGTAACAAGAAGAAGACGTTATGACATTAGATATTTCGCTTTAAAATGTAAAGAGAACATTACTTGAGAAACATGCACTTGTTTGGATGAGAGCTGATATAATCAAATGTTATACCATTAATTATAGTTTAAATACATATATACAAATATATATATATATATATAAATTGCCAATCAACAGTTGGACTTACAAAGACAAAAATCATTCTTACAAACCATTTACAGTGCTTAAATATTTGACAGTTTTAGACCAAACTACATTTTATTAGTTTACATACAGTTGTAAAAGAAACGACTGATCGATTTCTGGCAGAATGAAAGAACTGTCGAATTTAATAATACGAGGATTATCCTAAAAAATCAAAACCTAAAATGACATTGAAACAGTATGAAATCGCCTCATAAGAACACATATACAGAACAATTTTTATAAAACCCTTCGGATAATGCTGTTATGGGTCTTTTATCTTCTCCAAGACAAATCGGTTTTAAAACGTAAATGTCAGCTGAGTTAGACTTAACTATTTTTAAACGTTCGGGATTATGGCATCTATCACTTGTATTTCAAAGAGCTAAATATCTACTGGTTTTATGCAAATACACTTTGAAAGTAATTCCAAAGTAATTTTTGAAGATAGAATTGGAATTAAAAGCTTAGATTCTCTCAACATAAATGTGACTTTTTACCGGAATTATTTAAACATTTAGAAAGAATTCATAAACTTTACCTAAATAACTTGTAAAGATGATAAAAACATAAATATATATTTAAATCTTTGAACTTCTTCAGAAATACTTAATTGTGGTTTAGATATGTTGAAGCTTTTATAGTTTTAATTGTTTTTAGTAGTATATAGTACATCTTTTCTACATAATGAAACAATGTATATTATTTAGGTTTACAACTTAGCATATGTTGTAGCAGGCAGTAGAATTGTGAATCACTTGAGACTATTTGTAAACTGTAATTACGTTCCTTAGCTACTTTAAACCAATTATCATGTACTATTTCTTAAGCTGAGTGTAAATCTAATTTTATAATGCCTAATAAAGAACTCAACTGTATGTATTTTGTTGTTAATAATAATTCGTTATTTTTACGAGCATTTAGCAATTTTGATACATCAGTAAAAATAATAAAAAAAGAAAAACATGTCAAAGATAAAAATAATTTATGTTTCAATTGTCTAACCCATTTAGGACTATTTTTTTTAATTGCAAAAACTACTCTGTTGGTGTCAACAAACTTATTGCTTAGAATAGACATTACTGTGTTTAGATCACTATACAATGACGACATTTTCTGATCTCACAGGTTCATAAATCTGTTTACATCCACAGTTCAATATGTACAACAAATCAGATGTTTAATGATGACTGAATCCTTTAACCTCGCTATTATCAAGTACTTGTTTTGAGAAATTTAACTTTCTAATCACTAGGCAAGCTTTCTTGTCCCTGGGAAGTGTTCATCTGGCAAATTTTTAGTGTTTGATCACCTATTTAGTATCTCTATCTGTACAAGGATTTCGTTTGCTATCTGTAAACAATTATATCCAATCTTTAGGCGTTTCTAAGCGCATTTTTGCTGTTTGGTCACTCGATATTTGTGTATGTTTATTATATCTTGGGAGCCTCACAAGGCCTGGTGGTTAAGGCGCTCGACTCGCAATTTGCATGTCGCGAGTTCGAATCATATTACCGATCATGCTTACCCTTTCAACCGCGGGGACGCCATAATGTGACGGTCGATCCTAGTATACAATTATATTATCCCAAGATTTGGCGGTAGGTGGTGTTGACTAGGAACCTTCCCTCTAGTCTATCACTTCTAAATAAGGAAAAAACGAGCTCAGTCCTCGAATATCTTTGCGCGAAACTCAACAAGTTTTAACTTGTTCGCGTTAAGCTAAGTAATATATCAACTAGCTAACCCAAATTGTTTGAACTAACGTTGTTTTCGAGTATAAAGAAACTTTTTTTAAATGAAGCAAAAAACACTCGAAAACGGAATATTTGTTAGTAAAAAACTGATACAACACGTCTCACAAACCAACTTTATTTCATCTATTTGAAGGTAAAAAGCAGGTAAATCCAGACTTGGTGAAGAAAAAATATTTCGCTTATATTCAGGCCTACTCCAGTGGCTCAGTAGTAATTATGATGACTTATAACATTAAAAATCGGGTTTCAATACGCGCGATGGGCAGAGCACAAACAGTCCATTGTGGCACAGCGGTATATCTTCGGACTTACAACGCTAGAAACCGGGTTTCGATATCCGTGGTGGGCAGAGCACACGTAGCCCATTGTGCAGCAGTTTTGTTCTGAGTTTACTTACAGATTATAAGTATTATTTTATTACAGGTTACAGCTTTTACGGTAAAGAAGAATATTTTTAAAACTTGTGTACTTGAGAATGATCGCATCAGTGATCAACACGTTGTTTTTGTTTTTAAAATATTCTACCGTACTGTAAAAGCTGTAATTTCTAATAAAATAATACAACACAATTATTGCGTGGGAATACCAGGTTTATAACTCAATCGAACATTGTCACGTAAAAACGTTGAAATTTTACAAGTATGGCTTATAACTTGAGAAAATTGCCAGGCCTATTCAAGTGTGAGAAAGAATACTAAGAGAATAATTTCAGCCAAAGTCTGCTAACGTTACCAGAACCGCTGTCGTGATAGATAAATTTCCCGCCTACTTTTATAATTTCATCTATTTACAAACAGTCACGTTCTTTTATATTTAGGAGAGAAATTTTATCCCAAAATATCCTATGACCAGATTCAAATTTATGACATGTTCGGCTAAGTTTTTCAAATCCTCGTTGGTGTTCTTTGCGATTGATTTTTTTTAAAAAAGGAGGTTTCTCTGATATATGTCTTACCAAATCCACATGAGATACCATATACACAATTGGTTTTCTTCATTCTGTAGATCTTTTTTGCGAGTTAGGTAATAATTTTGAGGCATTAACTGAATGGGTTACTTCTATGGCTGTTTCAGATACAAAAGGAAATTAAAGGAACTCGTCGTGTCTTTTGTTAGTCATGAGAGAAATACTGGAATTATCATAGAAAATGTCATAGTCTTGATGATTAATAAAAGCTCAATCTATGATACTAATGTTAAAATCTTTAGCTAGCACTACATTCTTTAAGTAGTTCATTTCAGTTTGTATGTCCACTTTTTGAGTAAAGAAGTGTATAACTCGGTTTACTAATGTCAAATGGGTAGATTTTTTGGCAACATTTGATGATTTGGTTTTATGTGTTGTGGCATGGAAACAACACAAGGTTTTCTGTATACGCTAGTGATAACTTTGTCATTTACTCTCTTTACGTCAATATCTAAAAAGGAGAGTAAACTTTAAGATTATACTTCTTAAGTGAAAATTATAACATTCTCATACTATTTCACAATTCAAAAAATTAAATAGACTATTTTTTTCGTTGTCGCTACGCACCAAAGATATATCAAGGTATTGTAACCAGACTTTTGTAATGTGTAAACTTACATCCAACAAGTTCTTCGAAAAAACATATGTAGAGGACATAAGATAGAGCAGAAGGCAAGATCCTATAGCTAATATACTGTGAAAATGTGGAGAAGAAAGTGATGTAAAAATAAATTAAGGTATTGACCAGGTCATATCCAGTAGTTGTTAATTTCTGTTGAAGTGTGGTTTGTGGTTTAAACCATGAAATTGGTTAAGTTGGCCTTTATTAGGTCTTACATATCATCCGCCAATTCTGCAGTAGTCAAGGCTGTCTTCATAGAGCCAAGCGAAATTATGCGGTTCAATTAGAACAATGCTTTTACAATTTTCCCACATCCGTAAAATAAGGATATCGTTACACAATGGTAAAACAAAAATCACCTTAACCTTCCTACAAGTTTTCATGTTAAAAAATAAAACAACCTTTTTGGTTGGTCAGATTTCTTGAATGATAATTAGGGCAATGCTTCTATAACTTTCCCATACCTGTAAAATAAAGATGTCGTTACACAATGGTGTAAAAAAAGAATTCGCCTTAACCTTTCTAGAACTTTTCGTGTTAAACAATAAAACTAGCTTGCTGGTTGGCCAGTTTTCTTGAATGATAAATATAGTTCATTGAAATAAAAATGAATAATAATAATAAATTATTGGTGTGAAATTCGTGAATAATATTGTGCTGTTAATTCTTGTCCTGATTCTGATTTGCAAATGACTCACATAAAACTGATAAAAATGACATTTCACTGACTTAATTTAGTTCACACCATAACAGTTGTTATTCTGCGATTTGATATTATAAATAGCGTCTCACCCAGTTCGCTGTCTATCGTATCCCCAGCAAGCTATCCAATTAAGCTCGATATTGGCGAAAGTCCCAGTTGGCACTGGATATAGCAGATACAGTGTGGTTAACGTATCATTCTTCATTACTTTCACTCATAAGTCCTTAAACTATATTTATACGAGAAGATTCTACATTCCACTAGGGAATGGTTTAGTCTAGTATGAGCATGATGAGAAGTAAGCTGAGAAATCAGTACCAGGACTTCCTCAAATTAGTAGGCGTGTCTAGTTTCAGTAATGTATCAGTTATACCTAACCCGTGAAAAATTGCAAGACTATTAATGACCCTATTTCTTTCCGTCATTCTGAGATTAAACATTATATTAATGAAATACATCCAACTAAACTAATGACTGAAAAAATTAATGATTGGTTGAATCTTCGGCTAATTATTTGGATTTAGATATTTTACTTCCTAATGATACGTTTAATATTCCTACATTCGATAAAAGACGTAAATTTCAATGTTACTTTTTGATTTATTTGCGGTGACGGTTTCTAAACCCCCTCACTGAACATGCTCGCCCTTTCAGCTGTGGGGGCGTTATAGTGGACAATAAATATTAATATTTGTTAATAAAACTTTGAGGACAGCTGTTGAGTGGATTATTTTATTTTTAGAAAATGTATTACAACGTTTCGACCACTTGTGTGGTCATAATCAGGTAAACTTATGATATTTCACTCTAAAATACAGGATTAGTAAACACAAGCCCAACGCTTTTCTCTAAAAAACAAACAAAATCAAATTTGAGCAAGCAAGGAAACCTGAAAATTATGTCTTTTTTAGTTATCATGTTTGAACTGATTTATAAAATGTTAGTATTATATATCTATACACTTTGGCTGGGAGTGGTCTAGGTGTTGATCAAGGTTCGAGATGTGATGCCGATACAAATGTCCTGCACTTTCAGCCGTGGGTGCATCATAAAACTCATAGCAATACCATTATTTGGTTCAAAGAGCTGAACAGAACTCTTGTGACAGCAATTGCTACTGGCTGATCTTCCCTTGGTCAGTATTTCAAAGTTACTTGAGTGTGATAACTTCTTATGCCTATAAATCGTTGTTTGTCAACTTATTATTTCAAAGTTATGAACACCTATACCTGGATCCTAGAAGTAAAACATTACGTTTCATCAACGCTACATCACCTAAACTTTTAAGTTTTACAAACAAGATCCACAAACCGAAAAAGTCAGTTATATCGAGTTTGAGTTATTATCAACAGGCCTACTCCCCCCACCCAAAGAAAAAAAAATTGCTACCTTATTCAACCCTCTATATTACCATACAGACTTCTGTTAAGAACTCTTCTTATTTTTATCGGAAACTATAGTATTTTGAGGTGATAAACAGCGGAGGGATTCAAATATTTTAACAACAGGTTCTCTCACTAGCAGCATGTAAAAATATTAGATATTAAAAAAAGGAG